CAGTCCTGCTGGGTCCAGTCTTGTTCAAGGCATACATCAGTGACCCGGAGGAAGGCACAGAGTGCACCCTCAGCAAGTTTGCTGATGATACTAAACTCGGAGGAGGGGCTGACACACCAGAAGACTGTGCTGCCATTCAGAGGGACCTCAACAGGCTGGAGAGTTGGGCGGAGAGAAAACTCCTGAAGTTTAACGTAGGCAAGTGCATGGTCCTGCACCTAGGGAGGAATAACCCCAGGCACCAGTCCAGGTTGGGGGTTGACCTGCTGGAAAGCAGCTCTGTGGCGTCCTGGTGGACAAGTTAATAAGCATGAGCCAGCAATGTGCCCTTGTGGCCAAGAAGGCCAATGGGATCCTGGGGTGCCTTAGGCAGAGTGTTGCCAGCAGGTGGAGGGAAGTGATCCTCCCCCTCTCCTCAGCCCTGGGGAGGCCACCTCTGGAGTACTGAGTCCAGTGCTGGGCTCCCCAGGACAAGAGAGACATGGCATTACTGGAGAGAGTGCAGCAGAGGGCTACGAAGAGGATGAGGGGCCTGGAGCATCTTTCCTATGAAGAAAGGCTGAGAGAGCTGGGCCTGTTCAGCCTGCAGAAGAGAAGACTGAGGGGGGTTGTCATCAGTGTGTACAAGTATCTGAAGGGAGGGTGTCAAGAGGATGGGGCCAGACTCTTCTCCGTGGTGCCCAGCAACAGGACAAGAGGCAACGGGCAGAAACTGAACCACAGGAAGTTCCACCTGAACATGAGGAAAAACTCCTTTGCTGTGCGGGTGACTGAGCACTGGAGCAGGTTGCCCAGGGAGGTAGTGGAGTCTCCTTTGCTGGAGACAGTCAAAACCCATCTGGATGCGATCCTGGGCAATATGCTCTAGAGGACCCAGGTTGAGCAGGGGGGTTGGACTAGATGATCTCTAGCGGTCCCTGCCAACCTCATCCATTCTGCGATGACAATAAAGTCACGCTTCCAGTGACACGGTGAGTCACTCTGTGCTTTGAATTGAGTTGGTAAGCCAGGCTAGCTACCTATCCTTGCTATAAGGATTCCCTTGCCCACCCCTAACACCTGATGAGCAGACCCAACTTCCCAAACTGGCTGGCTCAACAGGTGAGTGCTAGCAACCCTCACTCGGTCTGCAACACTGAGGGCCTGAGGACCACATAATATATGTTTGGGCATTTTCAGTACAGGCTAGTTCTAGTCTCATCCCATGAACCAGACATCTGTTAATGGCTGGAGTACATTAAGTGCACTTCTAGAAGGCACCTTCTAACTTTAACCTGAAAGGAATCAGGTTTGTGTGCTTCAAGATCACTCTGATGCTATCCAAGTAGGGATTTATCAGAGGGTATGTTTTTGAAGCAAATCCTGATCTGAACTCAAACCATCATGTAGACATACCTGCCATCATTCAGACAGACTCCTTTAACCACAGCAGTTCAACCCTGAATGGCAAGCACCACTGGATGCCCTGTGTGCAGGAGCTGCACTGGTGTTTCCAACACTTCCTTCCTGACAGTATAGTACAGGATTGATCCCTACATACACCTTGCCATACTCCTCCCAGTACTACTAACAAAGACTCAAGCAAGGGACCTCGGTATTTTTCTGCAAATCCTCCAATGCCCAGAAATCCATGAATTAAAAATCTGTTTACCGAAAAGCCACGAGGGATCCTGTCACCTCCCTGCTCCACTCCATGACGAAGCCTGGGTGAGCACAGCTCACAATTAAACCTCTTACTGACTACAGAAGCAGGGCTCATTTCAGCACTGACGTACAGCTCACAGGGTAAGCACCCAAACAGATGTCTGCGTATGTGCCAAATTCTCCACGAGTGCGGCTATGCTCCAGCTTGCTAAGGAAGGCTGGCACATGCCAATCCAGGAAATCTACTGTTAGCTACCTAACTCTAGTAGTAAAATGGAAACGTAGAGGAAAATACGAGGGCATGAGGTCTATATAGGGCTCAGACACGCTGCAGAATCATACATGGAACTCACTGTAAAAAGTAGCTAGGGTAAAGTTTATTGCTAATTTAAAAACATAATAATAATAATGAGCACTGCTATACTAAGAGTTCAAAATGGCAAGATGTCAGAATTCCCAGCCTCCTCCTGAGGGCAAAAAAACCCATAGAAAATGTGTCTCCATTGCTTGTACTCCAGTGGGGTCTGTTATGCTTACACAGTCCAAAAGACACTTGTAGGGAGAAATGAAGAAAGATTACAGGAACTTCCATGCGCATTTACTTAAGTGGACTAAATCTTCTGCTCTCCTGATCTCCCTGGACATAGAACGATCTAAGTTAGAGAGAGACCCTCAAAGGGGTAAAAGCCAGCCTGGATCATCCGGTGCTTGGTTGGTGCATATCTACACGTGGCAGCATGAGTCAGTAAACTTCACCGTGGTTCCCAGCGGCAGTCCCTTGCCTGTAAACCATTCCATCCGCTGGGAGAGAATAATCCTCACTAGGGTAGATTGCTATTTCAGCTTGCAATCCTATTAAAGACTCGGCACAGTCTTTTTTTAAACTTGCTCTAATAAGGGAAAATCCCAGATGGAGACTACACTCTTGACCTAAAGCTGCTACTCCCAGCTTAAAAATCTGCCTTATTCCTACTAAGGAATAAGATTGAGATTGCTATCTTGATTCAAAAAGCCTCTATTTCGCAGAAAAAGCAGCCTCTACCTATCCTACAGATAGGAACCTGTATTAGTGTTAAGGCAGCAAGCATAACAGAGCTGCCATTGCCCCTCGCCTTTCAAAAGCTGTCAATCCACCATCTCTTTTCAGCAACTATTAACTAGAGTGTTTTTAAGACTACTACATAGCACTATACAGCTTTAACCATTCTAAGAGCAAGCAAATACCTTCCGCTGCCGTGGAGAAATGCCATTAATTGAAAAGGCAGCTTAGAGACAGTTCTGTAAATAAGCAGCTATGGGCAAGTAATCTATTTCAAATTGATTTTTTTTTTTAAATATTTCAAAATACTTTTAAAAGACGACACACCATCATCATTATATATAAAAAAAAACACAGCCTACTGATCCTTAACAAAAAGAAGCTGCATAAAGTGTAACTAATTATAGGAAGAGACTAATTACTTTTAGATCTGACATGATAGCCTCTCTTATTAAAGGGATGTGTTGTTTACTTTTGAAGACAAGGAAAACATCATACCTTGTCATTAGTCTAAAGCACATGAAAAATTATACCATCTCCAGAATTTTTCTGTCGCTCACTGTCATGATAAATTTTGCTAAGACTAGATAATGACATCCTCCTGCCACGCAGACAGATGAGTTTAACAAAAGGAATATTGAACACAACATTGCTTTGAAAACCCTGTGATAAGCTATTTGCTAACCACCCAAGAAATTTACAATTTAAATCAGATCAGCACTGCTGAGAACAGACATCTTTGGAAGATATTTTGTGAAATGACCACAGGTTAGATAACAGGAGCGGAGCAGAAAGGATGCATGGCCTATGTACAAATGAGCCTGTACAGCCTGAGTTCTTGTAAAAATCTGGTAAGAACAAGATAAGTTATTTGGACTCAGAACCCATTTCCATGCTACATTTCTGTTACATAGTCAGAAAGATGGGAAGTATTCCATTCCATCTGACTTCACATAATGGCAGGAGAGAAACAAAATATCACTCCCAATAATCTCCCATTTGCAAAGTGAGAACACTGTCCAGATACCAAGTGCAACAAATGTTAGGTACCAAAAGTTAAGTAGCATGAACTTCAGAGCCTCTTTGAAGCCTACCTAACCAGTGGAGCTTCCAAAACGCAAGGGTCAGAGGATCCCTGTTAGGAATCTCTTTCTGCATTGACACATGGAAAGCCTAATCCCTCTTTAGTTGCCTACATTTAGAGAGAGCGATCATATACGTGCCCACCGGATAGAAGAGGGTGGAGGTATGTAAGTGTCATTCTGATTCACCTTTCCACCTGAAGGTAGCAGCACCTTTGGTCTGGCACAAAGAATTCATGTTTGAAGGTAAAGTTAATATATTGATTGACAAACTCTACAATCCTCCATGGGGAATGAGAGACCGAGCTGGATTTTAACAGCACCATCGTTAATTTGAGAGGTAGAACAGCTGACAGAATAGGAGAGGTTACTGGTTTTGTTATCCTAAATTTGTCTGAGTCACCATGTGTTGGATCCCCCTTCCCCAGCTTTAGATATTTACTGGGGAGATATCTTTGTCTGAGTCAGTTGTCTGAGTCAGTTATTCCAGACTTTCCTTACTGTTAGCAAAGAAGCAGGAAGAGAATATTTTCAGGATGTGATTTATTGGCCACTGCATCACGTATACCAAGGGGGATCCCACCTTGTGCAACCTTAGAAGGTTCATCTCCTTAGGTCCCAAATGTGGCCATGGACAGCCTGATCACTTTCAAGAAGGACTGATCCCTTCTTGTAACTAGAACGAGCTAGGGAATTAGTTGCCTAAATTTGATGCCTAAATTACAGCAGCATGTGTTTTCCTTTCCCTAAAATAAGCATAGTAACCTTTTTTGAGGACTATTTTAGGATTCCAGAGAGAAAAAATACAACATACGTATTGTACACTAAACACATCTACTCACATATACATATATACATACATGGGCAGAAATTTGTCTATCTGCATATATGAACATGCACACCGATACAAAAGGCTTTAAGTTCAGCTTACTAAATATTCATTCCTGTTCAGCATGCACGTACTGTGCTTTTGGTATCTTCTAAATCCATATTTGTAATGGGGTGGAGCAGGTGGGAGGAAAGGCTGAGAAGCAGTAGGAAAAAAACTGCATTTGCTTATAGCAGCACAAATACTGAAATAACTGGTGGCTGTTGTTGGTTTATTGAACACGGTGGTCCACAAATTTCAGCAAGTGACTGCACTCAAACAAAAGCCATCCAAAGCTGCAGTGAACAAAAAGAAAAACTGGAGCCAGCGACAATGGCAAATCACAGGTGCAACAAACGGGTCCCAATGCCTCCACACCAAACACTTACAACAAGTTGTGTCAGAAGCAAGCTCCTGGAGAACAGAGAAATCCTACCTGATAAGGTCTTACTTTATGGTGAATTTCTTGAATTCCAACCTCTCTCGTCCTTACATCACGACACTGGCAAAAGAAAAGGAGAAAAAATAAAAATCACACAGGAGAAATGCACTAGGCTCTGAAACATACAGATTTCCAGCCACCCGTTGGGCTCAAAATTAAGCTGAAATAGTGTGAAGTTGCAAGGATGAATTCCAAATGGGTAGATTTCAACATAAAAATGCTCACCGATCCATCCCTAATATACCTTGGAAAGAGGTCTTAGCGCTAAATGGAAAGACATGCTGGTAAAAATCAATTCACTAAGCAACCATTATGTCTCAGGAGAACACGTACCCTTTGATTCACAAACAGCAGGGTCTGGAGGAAAAGTCAACATACATGAAAGAACAACAAGAAAAGACTTTGACATTATCCATTTTTACACTACACTGGAAAGTTCCGACATTGACAAAACCTAAACTAACGCACCTGAGAGGTCCTTAGAAAGCCAGCTGCTGGGTCTGAACAACCCTTTCCTTGCTTTTGAACAATAACACAAAAATAGTAGCAAAAGTCCCACCCAAATACAAGAAAGTAAAGTTAATGCTGACCCAGCATCCACAGAGCATCACCAAAGCTTGGGACCAAGGATACAGAAACTAAAAATAGCCAAAAGAAATCTTCCCTCCAGCAGAAATCTGAGGAGAAGACAGAGCTCCAAGTTCAGTACTTGAGAGCTGGGTTACAGCCTGCAAAAGCTTTTGCACTTCTCAGCAGTACCAATGAAATTAAGCAATTTGGCACCCATTCAGATAAGTGAACAGTTGTGGTCGTATAAGCCCTCCTACTGCAGGAGACTACGCGCATTTGCATCCTAGTGGGTTCGTTGTAAAGATCAATGCTAACCTTAACCCAACTCTTGTCGGCAATTAAGTGCCTAGCCACAATACTTTATCCAAAGCAGTTGAGGTGCAAATGCATGTTTTATTCCCCTCTCTTTGCTGTATCTGGAAGGAAGGAGGATAACCTTCAGCAGTGGGTTATAACTGCTCTAACAACACTTATCTGTGCATGAACTTCCAAAGACTTTTCGCCAAGGAAAATCCAATTCACACGAAATAACACGAAGCACAGAAACCCAGAGTACCCAGAATAAGCACAGCTCTGTCCCACGCCCTGTACTCCTCTCAACGTTTTTAAAATTGCATTTTCAATGTAAAACAAAAATCTCCCAAAAAGCAGAAAATAAATAGTGGGATTCACTGTAGTACCCCCTAAAAATCCTAGGGTTCTAGAGTAGACAAACTCTTCTCTGCTTTACAATTTCCTAACCAGCAAACACCACCACAGAAAACTATCCACTCTTCATTAAGAATCCCAGAACTAAGAAAGGACAACGTATTCTAGGACGCTTTAAAACTCTGCATCCCCATCTAATGTCCACGCGTCTCTAGTTCCAGACAGCAGCTGGCAATCACAAAAGCAGCATCCTGTGCCTCCAACTAACCGCTCGGGGATCATTTCTTTCAAGCAATCACAGCCACAAGTTGTAGTGTTGCCATGACTGAGCCTCATCCCCTAAATGTCCTCCTCACCAAGCCATTCCACAAAGACGATGCCAGAGCTACAAGAGCTAGTGAGCTGGCTGATCTTTACTAGTGAGCCTATACATAATATGAGATTCCTACAAGTCCCTTTCTGGTCTTGGCCTTCTCCTCTCCTTTTCCAAACTCAGAGAAAAGAGGGCAAAGCACATTCATAGTTTACTCATACAACACAAAGAAAACGCAACAGTATCTTATACTTCAAGCAATACTGCAGCAGACTGTCTGGTTCCTCGTTCCACCAGCTGCAGTGTTTCTGCCTCGCTAAATTGAAATCTGTAATTATCTGCACAGTAGAGATTTTTTTTAAGCAGATTTGATTCTTCCGAAAGCAATAACTGCTAGCCTGACGAGCCCTTTAAGCCTCAGCTCAGCTCAGGCACCAGGCTCATCCCTGACTGCCATGGATCAGATACCCCTGCTTCTCCAGCTGATCTTGATCAGGTTCAGATCAATTGATGTGGTTTCAGTATCAGACACAGGGAAGAATTCACTAGTAGCCCTGAAGAGCTCAACTGAAAAGGCTGAACTGCAGCAAAGAGCTCGTCTCCCCTGTCTGGTCTTGAAGTAAAAAGTTAGCAGGAGAGATGGAAGCTTCAGTGGCTGGCAAAGCTGTCGGCCAAATCCTGGCTTGCTGCTGGAGAGAGATCAGGAGGAATGATTTAAGGAAAAGTCTGGGGCATCAGCTTAGGAGAGAGTAAGTTGGTATGGCAAGCCCAGCTGGAAGGAAGAGTCAACTCCAGAAGTCTGGAGTTTATTTTCTGATCTTTTACTCTACAACTGCAAGATGCACCTGAGGTGGCAAAAGCAGCAAGGCATTAGATACAGCCCAGAGAGCTATCTGTGTTAAATACTGACAATAGAGCTGCAGCAGTACAAATCTGTGTGGGGCTATTGGTTCACACATCATAACTGAAGCCTTTCCTGTTGCTTCTTCATTGTCCTTGGTACCCAATCAACTAGATTAAAAGCTGGCTTGCGTACATCTACCAGAGATGCAGTTAGTGTATTGGTCCAAACCTTTCCTTGTAGTCATTTCTTTTACCCTTCCCCTGATTAGGATAAAACAAAATCTAACTCACTCATCCAACACTGACTAACTGTGCAATGTTTAGTACAATCCCCAAAAGCACACGCGGCCACACAACTGGGTTTGGGCTTGCATTTCCCTCCTTGTAAACCACGGGGCTCATTATAGTCTAGATTGTGCCATTCCGGCCTCTGTCCCATCCTGCTGGATGCAGCAATGCCCTAAAAACTCTAATTTAAAGAAAGGTGAGTTAGAAATAGGGTGCCCTAAATCATGATACAGACACATGAAGTGGCTGTGGTGAGGATCTGGCCTGCCTGAGCACCAGGATACCAAGGCACAATTAAAGGTTTCTGGAATAAGCTCAAAAGCATACTGTTTGTGTCATGTTTTGTGTAGGAACTTGGACGCCCCACGAAAGGCAGAAATTGGACATGACTTTGCTGGAGGCTTAAGACAGTGCAGAATCAAACCAATTGACAACCGGATTTCAGGAAGCAAGTGCAAGCTCAGAAAGTGCAGGCTAGATGAGTGGACAGTGAGGTGGACTGAGAACTGATTGAATGGTAGAGCTGAACGATTCGTGATCAGTGGCATAAAGTCTACTTGGAGGCCTGCAGCTAGCGGTGTCCCCCAGGGGTCAGTCCTGCTGGGTCCAGTCTTGTTCAAGGCATACATCAGTGACCCGGAGGAAGGCACAGAGTGCACCCTCAGCAAGTTTGCTGATGATACTAAACTCGGAGGAGGGGCTGACACACCAGAAGGCTGTGCTGCCATTCAGAGGGACCTCAACAGGCTGGAGAGTTGGGCGGAGAGAAAACTCCTGAAGTTTAACGTAGGCAAGTGCATGGTCCTGCACCTAGGGAGGAATAACCCCAGGCACCAGTCCAGGTTGGGGGTTGACCTGCTGGAAAGCAGCTCTGTGGCGTCCTGGTGGACAAGTTAATAAACATGAGCCAGCAATGTGCCCTTGTGGCCAAGAAGGCCGATGGGATCCTGGGGTGCCTTAGGCAGAGTGTTGCCAGCAGGTGGAGGGAGGTGATCCTCCTCCTCTCCTCAGCCCTGGGGAGGCCACCTCTGGAGTACCGTGTCCAATTCTGGGCTCCTCAATCCAAGAGAGACATGGAGGTCTTGGAGTGAGTCTAGCAAAGGGCTGAGCACTGGAGCAGGTTGCCCAGGGAGGTTGTGGAATCTCCATTCTTGGAGATATTCCAAAGCCATCTGGACATGGTCCTGGGCAATGTGTTGTAGGTGACCCTGCCTGAGCAGGGGGGTTGGACTAGATGATCTCCAGAGGTCCCTACCCAACCTCAACCATTCTGCGATTCTGTGCAAACAGGGAGCAGCATCAGGGCAGACTATGCGGGGCACTGTAGCTGCTGACTGTTACAGTGACCTTCCCATAAAATTAAGATTAGGTATGTGCGCCTGCTTTTGACTTCAAATATAAATGCAGTTTCTCCCTCCCTCCCTTCTCTCCACCCCCGCGCATATATTTATTTAACCTTAGAAATATCAAGAATATCAAGTCTCATTTGTTTGTGCTGAAATCTTTCTTGGAATTTTTCTCTGGCCTTACACTAAGAGCTTTCTTCCAATTGTTCAGTCAAATAAGTGCATGCGTGGGAAAGAGAAAGCAAGGAGAATTTCTAATAGCGTAAATTAAAAATAAACCTTCCTGCTTTCTGTCTGGTTTAAAAGGTTTCACTGTTGTAAATGGAAATGTCACAAACTAGTTACCAGGTACCTAGTACCAGGGGTGGGGGTAAGAGTTCTAAACTAAAAGTTAATCAAAAAGCTCAAAACCAGCTTTCTGGTTCCTCAAGGTGCTTTTTAGCCAATAAACTTAAAAAAAAAAACAAAAAAAACCCCACATACACACGCATTAAAAAAACCAAAACACCTTTGCAGATAATTTTGTTTTCCAGTGGTAAACTTACCCCCTATACTGTCTTCTTGTCATCACTTTCCTCTCAAAAATGATCAGCTACTTTGCATAAAGTCATCAAACAGCTCTCCCTCCATATCTATTGACAAATATTTTACCTGTGTCCCAAGATCCTTCATTCTGGCCAAGGCAAGCTCTCTCAGGTTCCCATGCTCCACTCCAGAGCTGACTAGTGGCATTGGGATATCTCTGCATGTAAAAGGAAAAACAAAAACCTCAAAAAAACTGCATTAGAAGACATTAAACCATAAAGTGCTATTATGGTCACTGAGGCCAAGATCTCATACAGCGGATCATAAAACTTATCTGAATTACCTTTGTTTCAAGTTTTTGGTTGAACAAGAAATAACACAGGCAATATCAACTAAAGGCAGGAGGAAAACGGAGAGGAAAAAGAGCTACAGAGTTCATTTTAGTAAAAGGCTGAAGACAAAACTAGGCTCTTACAATCCTGAGAGGTAGGTTATAATTTTGCTCTCAATTCTTCACTTGGAAAACTGAAAAAAGGATCATCCAGTCCAGCCTGCGCCTAGCCTAGGACACCAGGTCACAGTATTTGTTGCGGGAGACGAGCAGTTGGGAACCATTCCGCATCCTTCTGCTGTGTCCAAGCTGAATGCTCATCAGGGAAAATTCATCAGAATTACAACATTTTTAAACTGGGAAGCTAACTGCTTAAAAGTTAAGAGGTCCTGTTTAAGAAATGATTTGCAGCCAAGCCCACACACAAAATCTAGGGCCCTCCTGTGGGAATGTGAATCAGTGAATGGCAAGATGCCTTCCTGCATTTCTCCAAGGGAGGTACTAAAAAGAAATTTGAAAGCAAAACAGGATTTGGCCTCTCCAATGCCTTCCACAGCAGCCAGTTTGTCTCACTAGACATAACGTAAGCCCATCACCATCTCCAGGAAAGGAGGAATTATCCATCCCAATCAAACGGAAAAAGCAGCAAGAGGATTATTGCAACATCTCAATCCACAGTCACCTTCTATCTAACGCTATATTATATACAGTGATTCCAATGATTCCCCCTCTTCTGACTCAGACTCTACCCTGGTCCCTCTGATAACGCACTAGACCCCTGCACATAAGAGGTGGCAAAGAAGAAGGTGAGAAGGAACGCAAGCTGTATGGTGGTAACCACAAGTTGGCCGTGAGAATAAAGCAGGAATTATAACTAGTGCTGGAGCAGTTACCTATCACTAGACACAGGTAATCCTCAAAAGCAAGAAATCACCAGAGTATTTTAAAATGAAAAACACTCTAAAAAGACACAAAACAAACCTACTTAAGTACAATATGATCCAAAACCCCTCAGATTTTCTACAGGAAAATAAGGACTATATAAGTGTGAACAATATTTAGTACAATGTGGAACAATTTGGTCTCAAAATACGGTTCATTTACATCCTTTCATGAGTATTTCTCCTTTTTCTTCATCTGTGCAAGCAATGTACTCCAGCAGAGTAAAGAGCAGAATATCACCAAAAAACATACAGAGACCTCGATGGCTCAGGGAATTGGTAATGTAATTAGCTTAATCCATCTTGGTTCAGTAGTGATTGAAAGTCATCATCACTGAGCAGCTGTCTGATGACCTCTATAAAATGTTTTAATTGAGATCTATTCAGTTCCTTGAGGACTTGTGTTCACATCATGGCCACCATTAACAGCTACTATTCTGGGCAAAAGCTGTATAAAAGGTAACGGTCTGAAAGGGTCCTGCAGACCTGATCCTTGTGCTGTTTCACCCTTGTGGAGGCCTGAGACACTGGCAGGGAGCAAGAAGAGGAGTTTTCCTTTACTGTTAAGAATGAAAACAAGTACTTCAGACTGCAGGATTCTCCTCCTATTTCAGCCTCAAATACGGCCCAAAAGTACAACTTTTGCCAACATAAGGCTGGGTCCTGGGGACCTCGTAGTCTACTTACTTTCCTCCTGCTTTCCTCGACCTTCTTTAGAGAAAGCCTATGTCTAGAGTCTTTGAAAAATTCCCCACCTCTTAAACTTGCATGACAAAAAGTTGAGGCAAAATACAATTAGCTAACCAGTTCATTTATTCAGTGGATTTCTTGGAGTAAATAAGACACGGCAGAGCCAACACAACATACTTCAAAGAGCTTCAATTAGAGGAAATGAGCACTTCACATTGTGACTAAAGGACACACTAGAGGAGAACAGCGTTTTCATCAGGGCATGTTAGATCCACAGTGATAATCTAACTAAACGCCTTTCTTCTAATTATGGAACAACTCCAAAAAGTCAGGCTGCACGTATTTCCCCTAAAGGGGCACAGATGAAACACATTGACATCTTCCAGTATTAGGTCTTTAGCAAAATCCAGAGTCATCTAAGAAACAGTAAATAAACTACTGCAAATAAATGAAAGATTACGAGATACAGTAACTTGAGCCCCTCTCATCTGCCGACTAGGGAACAATCTAAGACAAAACGCGTATGTGCAAAATAAGCTTTTTAAGAAAAAGAAAGCAAGGAAGAGTTTTTCTATCCCCACTTCAGAGTAGGACAGAATATGTAAACAAATACCCTATGTGCATCATGGGTATAGAGGATAAATGTATTTCTTGAACAGCCGAAAGGCAACACTGCACTAGTGATTTCAGGACTTGTTAAAAGGCTAAATAAATTCAGGCTAAATCAGGGATTTGGGATTAAATCTTGACCTTATTAAAGTTAACGTGCTATTTGTCAGGACCTTCCACAGGACATATTTCATGTTCAATTTTTCAAACATTTTGCGTTAGCACTTGTGAAGCAGCTGATTCACACACATGGTGGAAATTAAAAGACCTTGATTCTACCCTTAACTTTGACTTGTTAGATGATCTCAGTTGACTAAGGTGCTTTATTTCTCCATACCTACATGTCCCCATCAGTAAAGTGAAAATATCATTCACATAAAACACTTAGATCCATAAGAGGAAAGGTGTCACACTCTCCAGCACTACTGCTGTCATTTCACACCTTCTCACACACCAAAGCACTTAGGTGCACATCAGCTTCACAGACATTCAGGTTGAACACAGTATTAAGCATCTCAGACAACCATGAAGTACCCACGAAGATATTTTCTTTCAAACAGCTTTTAAGCAACAGTATCACAATCATTTTGTACATATTTAATGTGGTTTCCTGAAGCAGAAAGGCTTCTGCATTGCTGTTGGTGATATCTCTTCCACCCTCAACTGACTCCTTAAACTGATAATTTTGAATATATGTGACAGATTACAAAAACGTTGACTTCTTATGCTTCCTGAAAACCTGGCAATAGAGAACAGAGATCCCAAACAGCAATCCTAACTAGAAAGAGCATAGCTGGGTTGGCCTTTTGCCAGTGTTTTGTCTGCTAGAAAACCTGCATGCGTGTATCAAATGGCTAGTCCGTACGCAGAGAGCTCAGGATATGCCTCCTTTTGGGGCTCAAGTTGAACCTGAAAAGAGTCTGAAAGGCAAGGTATGAAGGAGGGAGGAACTGTGGAAGCAGGCAGAGGGAGATGGAAAGGGCCTGGAGGCTGCAGTGGAGAGCAATGGAGGACAGGGAAAAAAGTTGCTGTCCTCAGCGAAGCAGTGCTGGGAACATAGGATAAACATTTTAGAAATCAGGCTTTGTTCATTATTCTGCTACAGAATAACACAATTATCCTGAAGGCAATTTAGATCAAAGTAATAGCTTTCGCACTCTGCACTGGAGGTGTCAAAATCTGTAATCACCAGGAACAAATTTCAGATAACGTGAGCCAGTCAGTAAGAAAACAATTATTCCACTGGAACATAATAACTGACAACTGGAAGACAGCTGGATGGAGGCCTCTGCTGCTGACAGAAGAAATCTCAGTCCAAAAAAAAAAAAAAAACAGCGCACGAGGCAAAGCATTGCGAGTGAGAGTTTTCCAGGTCTGTGTTCCTTAGGAGAAGACCTGCTAGGCTGGAAACTCACAGTCCTATACAATGAACAGGTTTACTCTTGGATACAATGCTGAGCGGACCACTATGTCTATACTGGAATCCATCAGGAAGAGGGAGGCACACAGGGAGAAAAGACAAGAGTTTTAGCTTTGAAAATGCTTCTACAAATGAGATGCCTGTAGGAATATCAAGCAGGTATCTCCTGTAAGACATCTTTTACCTTCTTTATCAGTATCATATTTCCTCTTTTCAGAACTCAGCCACAGCCACCAGTTTCTCATAGGACCAAAGAGCTGAAGAGGAGAACTCCTGGCCTCTGAAACTGCATCTCAGTTACTACAGACTGTTGGATCACAATCGCGTTCGTAAACCTAATCAAGCTTCACCATAGCAATACTTTAGTTCCCCTCCTCTTTGGCAAATTTGTAAAGGTGCTCCAGGATCTAATTCTTACAACAGACAGAAAATTCCTAGCTTCCTGCCTCGTTTTATGCAAGGTTACTTCGTGTTTTCTTGTTCTGTGCCCAAACTAATTTCTTAAAAGGTTATTTTCCCTCTCTGATATATTTGCAGAGACCATCTATGGTCACATCTGGCCTTCAGACAAAAGACAGATGCTCCTCCACACAGATTCCCATGGAAGTTCGTTTTCTTGAAGATAGGGAGTATTCCAAATAAGGTCTTACCAAAGCCTTTGGATGGCTGCATTAATTCTTCCCTCTCTAAATAAAAAGTTATCTTGAATGAAATGCTTTTCACAGTTGCATTCACCAGTGGCTCACTTACCACATGAGAGACTAAGACCCCAGAAATTTTTCCTCTTTTGCTATTTTCACACGATGATCTTCCAATTGCAACAGAACCCTGCTAGCATTTAACCTCAAACTTCAACAACTAAATCTCATCCCATCTCTATCACCACCAGATCCTCTTGTAAACCCTCCCTCTTTCAATGATGCTTCCCAGCTTTGCATCATCAGCAAGGCTTCCTCACTGCCCTGCTACTTTTTGTGTCATTGTAAATAAACAAAACTCTGACTAAGGTTAGTTTTTAAATGGCTGTTTGAGAAATTCCATTAATAATATTTTCAAAGATACTCCAGTGTTTCTTGTCTTGAGCCACTTCCTTCTGTACCAGCTTTCTCTGCTTGTTCCTGTATAGTTCTGATATGGCACAAAATCAAATGCTTTACAGAAGTCCAGAGAGGTGAGATTTAATGCATAACGCTTTCTCATTCTGCCTCCTCTTGGAGAGCTATGCACTGGCACTGTTTCCAGCTCATGTAGCTGGAAAACAACTGACTATTGTCTGCACGTAGAAAAATGGGTAACCATGGCATAGCCTCCCTTCCTAATATCCGACAGATGTAGGACAAAACAAAAGAAAAAGGATCCAAGAAAAGCTGCACTTTGAAAACAAGAGCTCAAACGCAAGTATTACCTAGCCCTCTGGAAGGTGAGGTTCTAGATGAGATTAATGGCATCACTATAGTGCATTTATAAAAACCCTGCAATATCCACAGGGAAGGACAAGACGACTCTATAGCTGGGGGGGTGAGGAGGGGAAATCAAATACCTCACAATTCCTCCAATAAACACTAGAAACAATCTACAGCCTAGCGGCGATTATCCATCAACATCATACTACCTGTTCTACATCCTATGTTTTAGTCTGATCAGCAGCACAAAGCGGGGCCTCCAGAAATTCTGAAGTATATATGGGCGCATTAGAGAGGCAGTTCAGTTTATATAGCTTCTCGTTTTACTTGGCCTTCCCCATAGACAGACAGAAGCAGTTTTAAAAATCTTTAGTGCGTTAACGATTAGGACTAGAAAATAATAAAAGAGTGAGTCACATCTTGCTGTAATTAAAGTAATGGCCCCTCCCAGTGCAATAAATCAATATACAAGGCCCAAAGAACATTACCTCTGAACGCGGTACACACGTGTCCACGGTGGGACAAGAGCCAGGATCCTCGCCACCAGATCCACAAGAGTGCTGGGAGGGTAGCTCTTGTATCTTCCAGTCTTCCAGAGCTCATACAGACCAGTGCCACGGATCACCAGTGTTGGATAGAGTTTCATCCCATCCGGGCGAAAGGCAGGATTCTCAAAAAACTCCTGGAAAACAGAACAAAAATTTAAGTCAGAGCAACAAGCTAGATTTCCTGGGGCTTTAGTGTCCCCAGGCTAAGCAAAAAACCCCAATAAAACAGACTGCAAGACAGATTTTGTAAAACACAATTGGAAGTCCAATTTAAGAATTACTGGCTTACAGTGAGTTTCCAACATTTATCAGGTTACAACACTTTTAGAAATAAAAGAGTATATTCTAGACTTAGGGAGAAAGCCACTGAAAAAAAAATAAACGTGACTGCTATAAGGCAGATTTGTGCATTACTGCTACCTTTCAGCATGATTTCAATAGATTCAACAGATATTGCACCATTTATTGTAACAGACTTTGCTCAGAATTAGAACAATAGGAATGAGTGTACTTATCTTCCATCTCAATAGGCCACATTTAGAGATTAATCAATGTGTCTGGGACACATCATTTGAATAGCAATGGAGAAAAACAGATTTATTCTACAATGATGTTCTGAACAATCCTGGAGAACAGAAGGACAAACTGTATCTCCTACTTACTCTCCTATGACTAAATACCAGCGCAGAACTGCAAATTAAACACCACTAACACACATGACAACAATTGCACTGTTTTTTGCAGATTAAATTTCAGCAGCAATGATTAAAATCACTTATAAAAATGAAAAAAAACCCAGCAGCACCCTGCACCAAATAACCATTAAATCCACTTAAGTGATGACCCTGCCATCATTTTAACAGTGTCTAGGTGCAGATCTAATACTGGATTACACTAATGTGCACTTGAAATCCACAGCTTGACCCGTCTCCAGTGTGGCATGCTCAGAGCAGTAAAGAAATGCAAAGTCGCTATGCCAAGTTAATGGTTGGTTATCGGGTCTCCCCAGGTGCTGTGCTACCTTCGGTGCTTACCAGCGCTTCACAAAAATCACAGCATGGTTGAGGTTGGCAGG